GGCACAATTCCGTCGTCACGTTATGCAGCGTAACCAGGCATCTTTGTGAAATTTGTTCAACTGTTTTGACTGATGTTCGTTTTATTAAATAAATGTACCATCACATTATGTTTTGATATTCGTTGATTATTTGGAATATATCATATGTAAAAAAATCGTTTTTACATCATCTTCAATTAGATTCATCAGTTTTGAAATATATATGTAACAACGTTTTATTTCATACACAAACAATGCATGTCTTAAAGGCCGACTGGTACCCTTTTTAAGCTATGACTGAATGTGAAATTTGACCGTTCAACGATTATGAAATTGTCAATTTTATTTGATTAATCAATGACAATGACGAATGAATAAACTTTTCATCCGTTTATGGAAAGTACATATATGTAGATATTCTCTGGTAAACAAGATCACATTAATTAAAATGAGCACCAAACCTCGTGCGAATTCTTTTCCAATGAGACACTATGGAGGACGTTCTTACTCCACCCATTTATCAAGGAGATAGTAAGTTATTTGGACAAGGTAAACATCATGAGAGTTGCGTCTTTTTCTCTCATTTCCTCGATCCTAAAAAAAATATCTATTCATGCATGGAGTCATAGCCGTGATGTTTTAGTACTGTATCACTTTCAAAACTTGTCGCCAGTAAAATATACGTTGTGTGTTGTGTAGGCGTACACGGCATTACTGGTGAACTCGAAAACACTGCGGATGTCTCGTTTTATATTTGTTTTTTTCGTTTTTATCCATAAAATTTTCATATAGAATAAATCAGATTTAGAGCACCTATCTAAGTATCAACACAATTTATTTATATAAATTACGTGAGGTAGCTGTGATGTGTTCCTTGTTTTCTCATATTCTATAACTACGTGAGGTAGCTGTGATTGTGTTCCTTGTTTTGTTATATTTTATCATTATGTGAGGTAGCTGTGATTGTGTTTATTGTTTTCTCACATTCTATAATGACCTGAGGTAGCTGTGATTGTGTTCCTCGTTTTCTCATCTTCTATGGTAAGGTGAGGTAGATGTGATTGTGTTCACTGTTTTCTCATTATGTATAATTATGTGAGATAGCTATGATGGTGTTCCTTGTTTTCTCACATTCTATAATTACGTGAGGTAGCTGTGATTTTATTTCTTGTTTTCTCACATTCTATAATTACGTGAGGTAGCTGTAATTGTGTTCCTTGTTTTCTCACATTCTATAATTACGTGAGGTAGCTGTGATTGTGTTCCTTGTTTTCTCACATTCTGTAATTACGTGAGGTGGCTGTGATTGTTTCCTGAATTCTCACATTCTATAATTACGTGAGGTAGCTGTGATTGTGTTCCTTGTTTTCTCATATTTCATAATTATGTGAGATAGCTGTGATGGTGTTTCCTGTTTTCTCACATTCTATAATTATGTGAGGTAGCTGTGATTGTGTTCCTTGTTTTCTCATATTATATAGTTAGGTGAGGTAGATGTGATTGTGTTCACTGTTTTCTCATTATGTATAATTATGTGAGATAGCTATGATGGTGTTCCTTTTTTTCTCACATTCTTTAAGTATGTTAAGTAGCTGTGATTGTGTTCCCTGAATTCTCACATTCTATAATTATGTGAGATAGCTGTGTTTGTGTTCCATGTTATCTCATATTCTAAAATTACGTGAGGTAGCTGTGATTGTGTTCCTTGATTTCTAATATTTTTTAATTATGTGAGGTAGCTGTGATTTTATTTCTTCTTTCTCAAATTCTGTGATTACTTGAGGTAGCTGTATTTGTGTTCCTTGTTTTCTCACATTCTATAATTACATGAGGTCGCTGTGATGTATTCCTTGAGTTCTCACATTCTATCATTATGTGACACAATATCCCTTGTTTTTATCTCTTCGTGTAACCACCAGAGACATCTCAAGTGTCCCCTCCTGCAAAATCGTCTTTTTCTTTCGTCTATGCTTTCATCGCATTGGGAAAATGCAACAAAACAAAAGAAAACAACATTATCTGTTTTCTCCTACCCATCTGTAAACTTCTATCCCTCCTCCGAAGCACCTGTCTTCTAATCAATTCGTATGCTTCAAGAGCGTTAACATTTTCACAAAGCAAACCAACAAATCGCAGACATTAGATACATTCATTTGTAACAATAGAGACAAGAAAAATATTTAAAAGAAATACTGTAGAAGGTGATGCAAAATTTACTTGAATATTATTGAGGAAACACTCAGCAAATTTGATAAACAGTTTAATCTGGGGATTCAACAAAAGCCAGTAATCATTATTCAACATAGCATATTGCCTTTGACTCGCTTCCTCCAAATTCCTTAAATAGCCATATATCATCATGTAAAATAGTAATGACCTTCTCTCTGCTCACAAAATAAACAATACAAATTATCTAAAAAAAAGGCTAAGTTTGTTTTGAACACGAACAGAAATTCTAAAATTTCTTTTGCTAGCTTTCGAAAACATCTGTTTACTTTGTCTACGAAGAGTGTAAGTGACCGGTGTATCAACTCTAAACCGCTAAAAACATCTCACTAAGCCACAATTGGCCTAATCAGTAAAGTCAGCTGCCAAACATCATAGAGACATTTCGCCTAATTGCACTCTAAAAATGCAGGCAGTCAGGGGGACGGGTACAATGTTTACTGATTCGGCCCACTGTGAGTTAGTGAGTTGTTTACCAAGGTTTAGAGTTGCGACATTTAACTCTTTGCTAGACAAAGGAAGCAGACGTTTTCGAACGCTTAGGACCTACAGAAATAGGTTTTCAATACCTGTTTTTGTTCAAAACAAACTTAGCCTTTATTATTCATACCAAACTGATGAGTCTTATTCCAAATACAAACGTTTGTTAAAGCTAACACGATTACCTATCTGTAAACTTCTATCACTTCTCCGAAAGCACATGTCTTCTTATCAATTCGTATGCTTCAAGAGCGTTAACAAAACGTAGACATTTTAAAAATACACTTCATTTGTAACAAGAGAGACAAGAAAAATATTCAAATGAAATACTATAGAATGTGATACAAAATTTTCTGGAATGTTATTGAGGAATCACTCAGAGAAATGAAATAATAGTTTAATCTGCGGATTAACGAAAGAAAATTGGGTTATTCTACCTAACATGTCGCCTTTGACTGTCTTCCTCCAAAATCCTTAAATTCCCTAATATCATCATATGAAATATAAATAACTTTCATTTTGATCACAAAAATAACAATACAACCATTCGTTTAAGCTTAAACAATCGTTTACTGGTCAAGAATGGTAAAAACAATCACATCAAACACTCTAACTACCCGGAAAGGTCAGTAAAGTTATCCATGCAAGATCTATGAAATAAACGAAGGTCGCAACAACAGGCTCCTGATTAGTGGCGGGAAAGTATCCAATTTCATGAAAGGACAAGCAACACGCACTGTTTTATGATATATACAAGTAAATATGATTGTGTAGTGTCAGTAAAGGGTACTACAATGATAAACAGTACATATGAATGTCAGTATACAATACTACAATGATAGATAGTGCATTTGATTGTGTAGTGTCAGTATATGATACTACAATGATAACCAGTTAATATGATTGTGAAATGTCAGTATACAATACTACCATGATAAACAGTACATATGATTGTGTAGTGTCAGTATACAATACTACAATGATAAACAGTACATATGATTGTATAGTATCAGTTCATGATACCACAATGATAAACAGTATATATGATTGTGTAGTGTCAGTATACAATACTACAATGATACACAGTAAAAATGATTGTGTAGTGTCAGTATACAATACTACAATGATAAAGAGTACATATGATTGTGTAGTATCAGTATAAAATACTACATTGTACAATGTTAACCAACTAATATGATTGTGTAAAGTCAGTATAAAATACTACAATGATAAACAGTACATATGATTGTGTAGTATCAGTATAAAATACTACATTGTACAATGATAACCAACTAATATGATTGTGTAAAGTCAGTATAAAATACTACAATGATACACAGTAAATATGATTGTGTAGTGTCAGTATACGATACTACAATGATAAACAGTACATATGATTGTGTAGTATCAGTATAAAATACTACATTGTACAATGATAACCAACTAATATGATTGTGTAAAGTCAGTATAAAATACTACAATGATACACAGTAAATATGATTGTGTAGTGTCAGTATACGATACTACAATGATAAACAGTACATATGATTGTGTAGTATCAGTATAAAATACTACAATGATAACCAGTTAATATGATTTTGTAGTATCAGTATACAATACTAGAATGATAAACAGTACATATGATTGTATAGTATCAGTATAAAATACTACAATGTAAACAGTACATATGATTCTGCAATGTCGGTTTACCATACTATAACAGTAAACAGTACATGTGATTGTGTAGTATCAGTATAAAATACTACAATGATAAACAGTACATATGATTGTGTAGTATCAGTATAAAATACTACAATGATAAACAGTACATATGATTGTGCAGTGTCGAGTTACCATACTATACCGGTAAACAGTACATATGATTGTGTAATGTCAGTATACGATACTACAATAATAAATTTCTAGAGCGGGGTTGATAAAACTACATATGTATGAAATATTGGTGTAAGTTGAACCTGAACCATACCATGCGACATACAGGAAAATCTCAAGATAATGCTATTGAACAGAACATCGATTACAGCGTATCAATAATATCCAGTGATAAACCACTCATGAAAATTAAAGAGGAGAGGCAGACATGACATCTATGTAGAACCATTAGGAATATGACACCGTGGCGCATTAAGTATTACAATTGATTACTTTCCATTGTTGTGTGTGTTGCTTTGTGTTAATGTTACTGACGCATCGCTGCAAACGATAAACACTCCTAATTGACACTGACTCGGGTACGCGTCATACAAAACATTTTTCCAATTACTGTTCTACACCACCGACTACTAAATGGAACGCTATATGACATTGGACTAGGATTCATACGATGGAGAGCATGCTGCAATTTATTGTCCTCCTATCTATTGTGATTTTGTCTTGTGGTAAGTAGTCAACATTGGGACATGCATTTGAATTTTAGATAAACTTGATAATTTTATTGATTGTAAGCTTCTTTAGAATATATTTTCCATTCTAATTTTGTGAATGATATTCTTGAGGGCATTTATCTATGACAGCATAATGGCCGGGTCTTAATTATGAATATGAGAGAGATGATTGACCTAAATGTTCGATTTCATCATTTTCCCATTTTCTAAGAAAGGTGTAAGCTACTTAAGACACTACTCCAGCAACGTGCAGTGTAAATACTCTACACGGTAGCCATATCGTCACGTAGCGCTATATCTATTCATAGTAGTCCTAATATTAACATTGGACAGCATAAGCTCCATGTACACGTAACGAATACTAGAGGTTTTACAACTGTTGTATGCAATGTGTCTAGTTGACAAGTTATCGTACAAGTATCGTATATCCATGTGTCTGTTAGACAAGTAACCCTTTAAGATGATGTGTCTAGTTGACAAGTTATTGTACAAGTGTCTTGTATCCATGTGACAGGTAACTGTATGAGATAATGTGTCTAGTTGACAAGTTATCGTACAAGTGTCTTGTATCCATGTGTCTATTAGACCGGTAACTGTCTGATACAATGTGTCTAAAATGCCTGCAGTCGTATATCAGAGGAAAATAATGTAGGTTTTCCTCAAATTAAAAAGACGTTCTACGAAATGTACACTCCCTCAATGGACATATAATATCAAAATTTTAAGATTTATACTAAACGGTTTCAGCGGGGTGTGGTCCTTGTCAATACGATCTGGTGACTGGACCCTACGGTGTGGCCGACGATGCTTTCTCAGCGTCATCTACTCACGGCAGTTGCAGTTTAGTAAGAGTAAGATTCAGCAATTCAAAAGGCTGGTGTCCGGCTCACACCGGAGACGGACACTTTTTACAGGTAATACTAGAAACCATTTACATGTCATACTTGAAACATTCTACAGGTAATACTAGACATTAAGTACAGGTTATAATGGGCACTATTTACTGGTAATATTGGACATTATTTTCAGTAATACTGGACACTATTCACATGTTATACTGGACATTATTCGAAGGTAATACTGGCATTCTTTACAAGTAAAACATCATTTAAAAATTATTATGGAAATTTATTACAGGTCATACTAGACACAAATACAGGTAAAACTGGACATTAAATGGGGTATAGGATAAATAATATAGGTATATCTAATGAATACAAAGTCCTTATGTAGGATTAAGATAATGGAAAAATAAACACTGCATTCAAGATATTTCTGTGAAAATATTCAAGTGTACACAGTTGTTATTGATTTAAAAATACATTTTCTTTGTTGGTTCATATGTCCGAGGCCTGTACAACGGAAATGTAAATACTTACTCGACGTTCTTAACACAATCCCTAATTACATTCAATGTTAAATACTGCATGCTGAGCTGAACATCATTGATCAGTTTTTTCCAGTTAAACTGATAGCGTTATCACGTTTAAAATTCATCGAACAGGTACAATGTTCGGTGGCTTCCGTTACAGAAATTTTACGATTTAAGGAAATGCTTATTTTTTTTATTTTTTTTTATAAGATTTTATATGACCAAGCTGTACCTGTTCTAAATCAATATTTTACCTATGTTAACCAGGTTTCTACTAGAACTACACGTTCTTTTAACAGCAAATATGTATGTGAAAAAAGGTAGAACAACTAACTATAAGAGATGTTTTAGTTACTCTGTTAGTATTGTATGGAACATTTTAGAAAGCTCACTGCATATTTTACCTAGTATAGAGTTTTTTAAGAAGGAATACCTGCAGATAATGTTTTAAATGTGATGAATAGTTTTATACTTTAATTTGTCAGGATCTGCATATGTCATATTCTTATTATTTAGTTATATTCTTTATGTCATGTATCATGTCCATGTCCATTGTAAGTTGTGTATCACAGGGCCATATTGTAAATTAGATGTAAATCTAAATATGTAACCCTGTCTAAATAAAAGATATAATTATTTTTATAATTTTAAAACAGGAAGTCAAATACACGTGTTTGATTTAATACTTGAAACCAATCTCAGGCCATACCCAAAACGTGTCACATAATTAAAGCAATAGTATACCTATCTTATGGGTAATAGCAGCTCATCTTACAGATAACACTAAACACATCTTAGAGGTAACACTGGACAAATCTAACTGGTGGTGACGCAAGACAAACATTACGGGTAAAACCTGAGACATAATACAGGTCATAATAGAGAAATAGTACAGGTAATGCTTGACACATATTATAGGTAATACTGAAGACATATCGCAGGTAGTACTGGTGACAAAATACAGGTAAAACTAAATATAAATTACAGGTAATACTGGGCCCTATTTACAGGTAGTACCGGACATTAATTACAGAGGTTATAATGGGCACGTTTTACAGGTAGTATTGAACATTATTTGTTCTACAAGGTAATACTGAATACATATTACAGGTAATACTAAATATAGATTACAGGTAATACTTGAGAAAAATAGCAGGTGATATTTGAGACGTGTTACACTTGATTCTAAGCACATGTTGTGGGTAATACTATGATGGTGAGATATTTTAGAAGATTGTTGGCCTAGACGTTTAAACAATTGTCAAGCCCTTCAAATTCAGGTTTAAATATACTAACGTTGTGTTGTCCACAACTAAAAATCATTTATTTACCCCCGTCGAATGTATATAGCCTCCTCAACTTGAATCCTTGTAGTTTCAACCTCTTTTATATCAGCCAATAGCCAACAAAGACAAGTAATTTTTAACAGGAAAAGGCAATGGGATTTTGGTTTTAAAAGATTAAAATAGTATGACAATACCGAATAAAAAGGTTAATGGGAATGTGTTGTTTGGTATCAATGTGAATTCATTCAAATGTGTCGATATTTTTTTCATCTGAAAGGTGTATGGCGGCATAAAAATAAAAATGAAGACACTTATCCGCTCCTAGCGAACATTTTGTTATCCCCCCTTTAGTTTCTCCTAGTACGACCACCTTTTCATCGATAGAGATGAATATCAGACGTTTGATAACCTGTCAGTTATCAGATATATGCTTATTGATTTCACAACCACTTTCACATACTAAAAACAAAAAGGGTAAATATTCCCTCTGAATCAATTAATTATGACAATGAGAGTACTCGGACGGACAACATGGAACCTTTTGATACCGTAATATTATGAATTGATTACTTTCTGATTTTTTGTTTTACATCTGACATCTCCTTTGAGGGTTTCATTTCATTAATATTGTCAGTCACGAACTGCCTTTTCCATTCACAATAAAGTAACAATAGCTTCAATGTTTCTAAAGTTTGATTAATAACGAGTTTACAAAGCAAACTTTAGAAAATAATAATCTGTCAATGTGTTTTGTTTTATATTGTACGATTCCAATTAATTAATGATAATGAAAGAAAAGTTTTCCCCAGACATATCAACAATATGCTACCTGCCTTTTTATTGACATTTTTCAGTTCGGCAAATTTACACAATACAATATATTGTCTACAGATATGATCAATATATTTGCCTTTGCCATGTTGTCATTGGGGTAGATAATTACAGTAATTAAATTATTTGCAGAAATAAACACCTAATTATAAACTTTATACAGATCGATAACACCTCCCCCACTTAAGATGTATCCAGTAATAAGAATTAATCCATATATATTTTTGCAAACATTAACTACTCGAAATACGAAAAAGATCGATAACATTTCGTTCATATCATGAACTGTTTCAACATCATGAAATAGTTGCCAAGCATATCTCTAAAAAGGTTACTTAGGAAAACGAGTTTATATAAGTTTGCCTTTTAGTTTCAAATATACAATGGAGTCTTCTAAAAAGTATTCTACACTTTCAAACCTTTTGATAAATATTCACCTTACATATACTACATTACCGCCTCTTTCCTCATCGTTCTGTTTCTGAAAGCTACGCTCTGTCTATGTGCAATATCATTGCATTGTTATTGTCCATTAAACATATAAATCTATACCACCTCATAATTATTGCTTTATTTCCTAGCGCCTTGCTTGGCAACAACTCACTTTTGGCTTTAATGTTGAACTTTCGACCAAGCGAGAAGGTAATGAGTCTTGTCCCCAGGCCGGGACATTCCAAAGTCCTTAAAAATGGTAGTTTTTATTATATGCTTATGGTTAAGCATTAACGGGAATGGGAACAACTGGTTCACCCGTTGTCAGTATAATATGACCCCGAGCGGAATGCTGTGCTAGGTGCCTTTAGTATGGCATGTCTGTGAGATATCACTACATGTATAATGTCGGCATCGGATCTGCACTATTTTAGAAGGCCAATACACCAACATTCCCTATCTCCGCCACACATACACACATATAGACATACACAGCATACACGGCGGCACGTCCTTACATTACCTTAGCTATTTATAGGACGTTACACCTTATACAACCAATCAACTGTACTTCAATGCATCGAGAGTTCCTTACTTATTGTATTGTGCAATAGAAGTGACTGCGACACTTTAGTAAATGGTAAGGTATAACAAAGCGCCCATGTTCCTGTCATAGGCGGTTCTCTGTTATTCTAATGCCTAGCCACCTCTAATAAAAAGGTAAACCGAAGTGTTAATACAACCGTCGCATTCACTCGCAATTAATGAACACTTAAAAAAGGAACAAGGAGAATACGACCATGAGTGATGAAAAAGTAAACGTCTTCGGCGATACCAGCTATGTAAACTTGTGTCAAGTCCAAGTATTGTCTCGTTCTGATAGAACAGGACATGTGATGTCGAACAAAAAGACACTCGACGTAGTATTGACCGCCATGTCACACAAAGAAATAGCATACTGTTATCATGACGGAGAGCATACAATTGTCTTAAGTCTTCATTAACCTGCATCTTTGGAAACCCTTTTTTTGCTAAGCTTGTCAGCATTCAACATCTTCCCAAAAACATTATATATCCAAACCAAGTTCTTGAACAGCAAATAAAATGCGACATTAAAGCACCGTGGTTTGGATATTTTAGGGTGGTTACTTTCAAGAAAGGGAAAGGTCACGATTGGAAAATCAAAAGCACAGCTATCGTAGGTTTTAATATTACTTAGCATAAAACAGTCCGCGTTGACGTTGTTGTAAATTATGATGAAGAAAGGCATTCAAGATCGATGTGAAAATCGTTATTGAAAGAGGACAGATAGCCGATGTATATCAATTTGAAATTAAAAATAAATCCTGATAAATGCTTGAATAAATAGAGAAACAGTTAGCATTCATATAGGTATTTCTTTAGTCTGCTGTAAAATATTGCGAACGAATTCCGATCATACATTTTTTCCGATGATCCTTGTGAAAATCTTGTCCTTTTTCATATTTTGCCCCAGTTATGTTGGTATGAATTCGCATTATGCATGTTATATTGGTGCTTCATCGTCATATGTATTATGTGTACTTGGAGGCACGTTAGTCTAGTGGTATGACGCCGGGATCGTGACCGAAGGGTTGCGGGTTCGAGTCACGGCACGGCTCTGTGTTGTATCTTTGAGCAAGATACTTTACTCCGCCTGTTCCAGTCTACACAGCTGTAATTGAGTACGTGGTTGGGTAGTGTTAAAATTGTTGAATGCTAGCTGTTAGCGCCGAAATGGCAGGTCCGGCTGTATGCTCCTCAAAGAGTTGAGCAAAGATATTGGCTGGTTGCAAAGGCCCTATAACCACGGATAATAATTTATGAACCGCTTTGAGACGACCTACGAGCTAGGTTGTAATAAAGCGGTATATAAGAACCTCGGATTATTATTATTATTACCTCTCATCGTAGTTCTGCCACTTCGCAATATATGTATTATTCTACATCCTTGTCTTGTAAAATTTACTAGTGTAGTACCATGAATAGCTTAAAATATAGCTGCATAAAGATGTGTACTACTGTTCAACGAAGATAATTGTGGCAATCAAGGTTACGTCAAACCTCGTGGAATAAGATATTACTAGCAGACAAAACCACCAGAAATATAGTTTATCAAACGTTTGAAATTTATAAATAGTATTGATTCTAACTAACTTAATCGATTAATCATCTTGAACAATATATTCATTGAAGTAGTATCGAGAATTCAATAAGAAAATTAAACGGATGGATATTTCAGAAAATCTAAATTTAGTTGGCATTCGGACTCTTTCATTCCAAACACGAACTCAACTATTTTGGTTGCTATCAAAACGAAATATCAATAGTTGCATATAGTGATTCAAATATAGTTTTAATCTTTTTAAGTTGTCCTGATTTACACGCTCATATATAGACAGATCGAATAATTACTGGAAACAAAATCTTCAGATTTTCGAACGAAGTAAGAAAACACCTATTCAATAAACTAATTAGTCGATTCAGGACATTTTGAAATTAGGTACCTTTCCATACTCTTAACAAAGCACATGGACAACTTATTGGTACAACAGTTAAAGCTTAAAACCAGTATTTCAAGGAAACCGCACCAAAAGGAATTTGATTTACAAAGCTTTGCCTATTTAGTCCATAGTGTATCACTTTTAACGTATTTTAATGTACTAAGAATGGTTACCTGTTTTCCCCATACACAGGTGGAGTTTCGATCTGTCTCATTGCTCAAGGCAATACAGACTAAGGGACGGGGAGACTATAGTCAGTGGGTGTCGTTGTACAGTGTCAACATCAGTATGGACGGAATCACCTGGACGTCCTTATCGAACTCTACAGGTGACGTACAGGTAACTATGTCATTTAAGGTCATGCAGGGGTACGCAAATTTATAGATGTTTAAAAATTGATTTTACTTTTTTATATGGAAATTGTAATTTCTGATGTCGATTAACCGCTGCTGAAATGAATTTATACTGAAACTGATATACCAATAAACATAAATTAAAATTGATAACAATTTGAAAAACAATATTTGTCTATATAAAAAGTTTTGCAAAATATTTTAGTTTGTTGACGTTATGTAATAGGGTAATCAATACACCTTTGTTTGCTCAGCTTTCTCTTTTCAAAAAAATAGTATTTAAAAGCTCATTTCGAGAGCTTTTGAAATAAACCTTTTTCTTTTGTCAAGCGAAGAGTGCAAATGAACGTTATTGTGATTTACACAGACCATACAACACTTCACTTAGCTACGATATAACGGGTCAATGAGGTCTGTTCCAATTGTATGCCAAGGAAATGTTATTGTATTCTGTGACGTCATTAAAACTTTGAAGAGTTAGATATAAGTGTCTTTTTCATCAATCTATGATACTTCAGGAAAAATGCATCATACCAGTCTTGTTTAGATAATATTTGGAGGGGTTCAATGGTTGTCATAAACGTAAGTTATGGGGAGTCCACACATAAAACCGCGGAGAGAAAAGATCCAAAACTCAGGAAAGCGTTTTTGGCAATGACTCTAAAACAAACTATTGGTTAGAACCACACTTGTTTTATACCGAAGCAGGATAAACATTTGAGGTGATTTACTGTTAAGTATTTGCATGTTATATATATAAGTATAAATCAAACAATTTATAACATAACCAATATTCATTAGACTTTGACCGATAATTATAAGTAATTAAAGCTCATTTCAATTGAAGTACCCCTCAGTATCTCAAAGTGAAATCGACTGCCTCTTCAGTATCTCGTATGCTCCCCTCGTTCATCTAACACAGCCCTGATTTTCTTGTTCATCGGTGTATTTATCTTTCTCATGGAAATATTGTTCTACTCTTCTAACAAGGCAGTACGTAGGTGGTTGAGAGTAACGGGGGATTCCGACGCCCCTTACCCTCCTGTCGAGTTCTTCCCACAGATATTTGATTGGGGACAGATCTGGACTGTACGGCGGCCAGTCGAGAGGGTTGATATTATAGTTTGCGAAAAAATTATGGCTACATTTATAATCCTGGAAAATTAGGTGATATTGTAGCACAAATGGAACTGTAACCGGATGGAGAATCTTATCTCTAAATCTTACGGCGGTTAAATTCCCGGCTACCACCATCAACTGTGACTTTAACCCGTGTGATATCCCTCCAATGACAAAAGCCGAACCACCACTAGACCTATCTCTCTAAAGAACACAATCGTTAGCGAAGCGTTCCCAACGACGTCGGTATACACGTCCTCGACCGTTCGGACGAAAAAGAATGAGCCGGGACTCTTCTGTGAAAAAGACCTTTCCTATTGCCTCATTTGATATTGGCTGGAAGCATGTACCGCCAACCAATTAATACGACGTGTGCGACTTGCACAAGTGAGAGAAAGATTAATGTAATGACGACAAGCTTGCAGACCAACCTCGCGTAATCGGTTCCTTACAGTTTTTGGGTAAATGCAGATAATATGATTGCCTCACGTTTTAATAGCGGTTTTAGTGGCAGTAACGTGGAAATTACTCAAGTGGGCAAGACGAATAGCCCTCTCTTGACGTTGTGTCGTTACGCGCGAACACTACCGGTGTGTCTCAGACGACGGACAAGATGTTCTATTGTGGAAACATTCACACCGAACAGCAAAGCAACCTGTTGTTACCTTCAAATACACTAAAAAGCTGAACGTGATGTGTATATCTCAATAGTATCTGGTTGTTTGCCGAGATATGTTGACGAACTTGTCATCATAATTATGCACGTGTCTTTTTTTTGATAATAACACCTTCATTATGTGGCACGGTTTATTACATGGTTGGGTGACTTTAGACACCACAGCGACTCAGATGCTCGTCTGACCGGTTTTCATAATTTTAGGCCAAGCAGTTAAATAATTGTTTCATATATTTTAACCTGGCTTTTATATCCTTTCAGTATATTTATTTCCTGATATCATAGCTGCTCTCATTATCATTATTGATATCAAAAATGATATAAGAGACAATAAACAGAAAGAACGAATACAAAAAGTTGCAATTCAATACTTTTGAGTTATGTTCTTAAATAAAATCAGAGTATCACTTGGAAATTCATGTCTTAAGAAAATAATATGTTGCAGTTTAACTAACTTCATTAAAGGCAACAGAAATAATTGACAACATAGCAGATTAGGACCATAACGCCTTAGCTGTTACGTAATGAAAACAAAATGAAACATTACAAAATAACATTCCCGGGAAACAATCATATTATGACATTAGACTAGTACACTTAATTATGAAAGTTGTTTAAAAAGGAAGTGAGGATTCGTAATCAAGCACGATATTCTGTTAATGAACAATAGGATTGTCTTCGTGGCTGTAAAAACACAGGCAGCCTCCCTTGTCTTGTTTTCCATAGTTGATCAGATTTTAAAACACTACAAACAATATGTGCCCCGACAGACGCATATTATTAACTTTTTTATTATGATATTTTATATTTATTTGTTATTTGTACATCATTGTTATATCAAAGGTCAATATTTAATGAAAACAACAGTGCGGGTATATGGCGTACATTATAAGTAACAAATGATATATCTCCTACAAAATGTTTTATACAGATATTTTCCGGGAATTCTGACAGAGACACAGTCGTGACCAATGTACTAGAAGGGACCGTCATAGCCAAGTATATCCGGATTATATCCGTCTACGGAAATTCCTACAGATCGATGAGGCTAGAGGTACAAGGGTGCCCGTATTTAGAAATTAGCAGTAAGTATTTTGTCTCCATTGTTTACATTATGTAACCACTTATGTTTATTTATATTGTTTTATACTCTTGAAGATGTGCAAAGCACCTATATTAATAAAAGCGATGCAAATATAGTATCATCATTAGCTAAACATATGTTATATATTCGTTTTCAATCTCATCAGAGTTGCTTTTATATGTATGTTCTGCAAAACGTTATCATCCTTAATGATACTTTGCAAGTTTTGCTTTATTGAAAATTCATTCGTCAAAATAGAATTAAAAACCTTACTTCCTTGTCTTAATGTGCTGGAAAGGTACAGAATTTAGGAAAGCTTCAGGAAGACAGTTGAAGTGGTATTTAAACCTAACTTGCTATTATTTTTTTCAACAAATTTGGAACAAGAACGTTATTTAGGGTAATGGTACGACAATCAAATGGTTTTGGCAAAACAACAACTAACATTTTCGTTCATTCAAATGTATGAATAATTTTCTATGATTGATGTATATAATAAAACAAAACGTTCATGAATAGGTACATGTCATCGCTGGGAAGCCACACTTGGATCCACAGGTGACGTCCGTCCTGTTCTCGTAGACACATTTGCATCAAGTCAAGGACTATGTGGATTAAAATGCTACAGACATTCGGATTGTGAAAGCTTCCTGTTTGACGTCACTTCCGCTCGCTGAAGATTACTTAAAACGGCTCTCAATGGATCACAGGACACAGTTAACCTGGAGGGGATTTGGTATTTTTTGAAAAGTTGACTATGACAGCTTCCAATGTGACGTTACATCCAACTACTTTAGTAAATCTCAAAGGGCATGTAAACCATATTCGGCTTTGACAATATACCTGAAGTTTTGAAAAATGGATGGTTCACCTTTTTATTATTTATTTGAATATTTTGTTTTGATTTGATTGTTGACTTTAAAGCGGCCATGCTGTTATTGTTTTCTATGTTATTTTGTACATTTGTATGTCCCTGTGGCAGTGTTGATTTACGATTAATAACAGGAAATGTGTTTTCTGTATCTTCACCTGTGTGTTTAATTATTGACAAAAAATATACCAAACAATGTTATAATATTTCTCTCTATGTGTTCCTAAATATCAGGGTTTGTACTGTATTTTGCATGATCTGTTGTAAGTTTTAAATGGAGTAATTAACTAAGCGATACTGTTCCGGTCAGTAATTACATTGACTTCGCCTAACTATGACAACATTGATGATGGAAAGCCATGTAAGATACAAACTATGAAATAACAAAATCCTATAAACTGAAATGATGCCACACAGAAATAAAGCAGAATACCGAAGCGTCAGCAAAGACTGATACGAATTAACAATCTTTAAAACTACTGCAAATTATATACAAAGGAAAGGTTTACAAGGGGACGCTTACAAAAAGAGAATAAGATCAGCGAAGTCCTGATGACGACCGTAAAACGTGTCCATACCCGTTGTTTTATAAAGCACGGATGGCATGACATTCGGGGTAATCTCTTGAGTTCTGAAGCAGCCACGACATATAACAACATATGTAGGGGTGCATGGATGCTGCTATCAAGAAAGGGAAATATTACAATCGGTAAGTCGAAATCGTCCCGTTTATCGAACAGCTTATAGAAATCCGTCCTTGTTGGTCATAGTATAAGTTAAGATCGAGGAAAGCGGCTTACATTTACAATGATATGGCGCCTATGTTATACAGAAATAATTACATTATCACTCAAATAACCTGTGCTACTGATATCAGTGATGAAGATCTTTTAGGGGCGACTGAACAGAAACTGAGAACATCGTTAATTTTCCAGCTGACGTACAGCATATTGATGTCACTTATTAATCGCTGTATATTAAAATTAGTATTACACCTGAAATACATACATGTACAATTATAACAATAGTAATAATATTTCGAGGTTTATATATACTGCTTTAGTTCGTAGGTCTTTCTCAAAATGGTTCACAAATTAGTATCTGTGGTTATAGGACCTTTGCAACCAGCCAATATATTTCTCAACTCCCTGGGGAGCATACAGCCAGAGCTGCCATTTCGGCTCTCAAAGATACAGGTGCAGCAATTCTAGCACTGCCCAACCACGTACTCATTTACAGCTGAGTAGACAGTGCCGTGACGTGACTCGAACCAGCAACCATTCGGTCATGGGTCCGGCGTACTACCACTAGACTACCGTGCCTCTTATTATGACAAATTCATTTTAGGACCATTACAGTGGAGCGGAGGAGAGATTATATGCACGATACATGTGTTGGTGTTTGTCCTTTGTTTCCATGTGCTGCTTTTGTTGATGACTAGAATAGACCAGAGTAAGTAAAGAACGGGCTAATGACAAACTATATATGTGTAAAATACTTTTAGGGAGAAATAACTTTTTATCCTTATATATCGAGAACGAGGTTTGTAGACTATATTTTGCTAAAATACAATTTTCGGCAGGGAGATAACAACATAATCTAAATGATTGAGAAAAACTATAATTGAACATTATTTTGTAATTTTTGACCGACAAGTGGGAATTCTATTTACTTGCAATTGTTAAACAAACAAGTGAATGGCAACAACTGAGACCGGCAAGGGGTTAACTATCCGGTGACGGGCAATCGCTGGTTTGTCAGATCCCAGCAAGTGACATACACGAAAAAATGAATATAGATACAAATTCCAATATTTTGAATAAGATTAGCTCTGTCATCCAAACGGACCGTTAAACGCTTGAAATGTACTTACACTTAAAACTATACAGAAACAATAGAAATATTGTTTCCTATTAGAAATATATTACATTGCATATACACCTTTAATTGTTTTAACACTTAGGAGGTACATCCGACTAGCCAGCGCGCATTATAGACAAGTCACCTCGTCATGTTTGATTCTGATCAGTAACAGATTAGCTTCCGTTTATACAGAACTGAGTATTGTTTAGAATAAAGCTGATCACGTGTGCGTAGACAGGATATCTAATAACTCTCTCAACGTCATGCTTATTAAACTTGTACCTGTTAACGACCCCAGTAAAATAATTCTTTCGTGTAATGTAATCAACCTTTCAATGTATTCATTATTACTTTATAAACGTCTGGAACACTCTTATGGAGTGACTGATACCGCACTATGCTGGATACAGTCATACCTGAGTGAACGACGACAGTGTGTTGCCATCGGATCTGCCAACTCACATGACAAAATACTAGATTTCGGGGTTCCTCAAGGGTCGGTGTTAGGACCACGAAAATATTGTATGTACTCCAAACCGATTGGAGAGATTTGTCGTCGCCATAGCCTTCGCTATCATTGCTATGCTGATGACACACAAATTTACATGGTCATAAAACCACAGGACAGTTGGAATACAGTCTCAGAAAGTCTGGAAGCTTGTCTGACAGATATCAGTATCTGGATGAACGCCAACATGCTTAAACTTAATCAGGAAAAGACGGAACTAATCGTCTTTTCCCCAAAGTGTCAGCAAACAATGGCTCTCCAGCTCAAGGTTGGTGCCAGAACTATTGAGACTGTTCCAGCTGTTAAAAACCTAGGGGTATACTTTGACAGTTCTCTGAACATGGAGAAACAAGTGAACGCTATTGCCAAATCCTGTTACTACCAGATCAGGAACATCGGCTGTATTCGGCAGTTTCTAACTGCAGATGCATGCAAGATTTTGGTGCATTCACTTGTTACCTCTCGGTTGGATTATGGTAACGCCCTGCTCTGTGGTATATCTGACAAACTAACTAGTCGTCTGCAGAGGGTCCAGAACACTGCAGCACGGCTAGTTACTCGTACTCGAAAGAGAGAGCACATCACACCTGCGCTTTATTCGTTGCACTGGTTACCTGTACGATACAGGTCGCAGTACAAAATTCTGGTATACACATACAAGGCACTGAATGGAACAGCTCCTCAGTACCTACAGGAACTTGTTACCCTGTATCAGCCGTCAAGATCACTGCGGTCGGAGTCAGAATCTTTGTTGTGTGTCCCAAAATCTCGTACTGTGACCTACGGAAACAGATGCTTTAGAAGGGTTTTCAGCTACGTTGTGGAATAGCTTACCATCTGCTATTAGGAAGTCAAATACCATGGCCAAGTTCAAGAGGGACATAAAAACTCACTTCTTCACGTCTGCATTTTAGAATCTTTGCAAAGACGTCATGTAAATACCACCCTTTTATTTGTTCAATTATGTGGACATTGCTTGTTAAATGTATGAAAGTGATTGCAAGCCTTTGTTGTTTGTTTTCACAATTTTAACCATTACTATTATCCATATGTTGTAAAGCGCCTTAGAGTAAATTTACAAATTATATAGGGCGCTATATAAATGCTGTATATTATTATTATTATTATTATTAAGGGGGATGGTAGGGAAGAAAGCCACAGAAATTACATGGAAAAGGAGTTTGTAAATCTCTTGATATATAACACGATGGCTTATTTATGTTCACGTGTTTACATGACTTACCATGTAATAGTCGTATACATTGATACTCCGTAAGGCTATAGGTGAATAAAGAGCTTGAACTTGAACATAACTCGTGATTATGACGTAAGTTGCGTAGCGGCATTGAACACCGGTTATTATTACTGTTGCGTTAATATGTCCTTATGTATGAATACAAGTCATACAAGGATTTAAAGTTAGTCAGGATTGATTTGCTCTGAAAAAGTCTTTCAAAATCAAAATGTTAGATCACATAATAATGCAGGTGCTGCGCCAGTGCAACTTCACGAGTTCTATTGTTAAATTGTCGTCTTGAAATTTAGACATTTAGTATACCATGACGAGCTGAAAAAGTAATATCAATCAACATGTTCTATTTGTTTACGAAGCGTTATTGAGGTCAATATATAGATCAAATGCTATTGGTTTATACATGTAAGTTGCAACTCTTTTTGTGCCTTTATTTGTCATGAACGGATATATTGTTGCGTTCATTGTATTTCATGTGTTTCTTGTAACGGTTGCTATCTGTGATGCAAGCGATTTATATATAAATGCTGCGTTTAGCATAGTTATTCTACATTATTGTTTTGTATAGATGCTTCATGTAACTGTAGGGTTCTAGACGTAATGATGTATTCACAATCATTGTAGTTGGCGTGTTCCTTGTACGTGTCCCCATCACTGTAGTTGGTGTGTTCCTTGTACGTGTCCCCATCACTGTAGTTGGTGTGTTTCTTGTACGTGTCCCCATCACTGTAGTTGGCGTGCTCCATGTCCGTGTTCACATCACTGTAGTTGACATAATCGTTGTACGTGTCCCCATCACTGTAATTGGCGTGTTCCTTGTACGTGGCCCCATCACTGTAGTTGGCGTGTTCCATGTACGTTTCCCCATCACTGTAGTTGGCGTGTTCCATGTACGTTTCCCCATCACTGTAGTTGGCGTGTTCCATGTACGTTTCCCCATCACTGTAGTTGGCGTGTTCCATGTACGTGTCCGCATCACTGTAGTCGGCGTGTTCCTTGTACGTGTCCCCATCACTGTAGTTGACGTGTTCCTTGTACGTGTCCCCATCACTGTAGTTGGTGTGTTCCTTGTACGTGTCCCCATCACTGTCGTTGGCGTGTTCCATGTACGTGTCCCCATCACTGAAGTTGGCGTGTTCCTTGTACGTGTTCCCATCACTGTAGTTGACGTGTTCCTTGTACGTGTCCCCATCACTGTAGTTGGTGTGTTCCTTGTACGTGTCCCCATCACTGTAGTTGGAGTGTTCCATGTACGTGTCCCCATCACTGTAGTTGGTGTGTTCCATGTACGTGTCCCCATCACTGTAGTTGGCGTTTTCCATGTACGTGTCCCCATCACTGTAGTTGGCGTGGTCCTTGTACGTGTTCACATCACTGTAGTTGGCGTGTTCCATGTACGTGTCCGCATCACTGTAGTCGGCGTGTTCCTTGTACGTGTCCCCATCACTGTAGTTGACATGTTCCTTGTACGTGTCCCCATCACTGTAGTTGACATGTTCCTTGTACGTGTCCCCATCACTGTAGTTGACGTGTTCCTTGTACGTGTCCCCATCACTGTAGTTGACATGTTCCTTGTACGTGTCCCCATCACTGTAGTTGGCGGGGTCCATGAACGTGTCCCCATCACTGTAGTTGACGTGTTCCTTGTACGTGTCCCCATCACTGTAGTTGACATGTTCCTTGTACGTGTCCCCATCACTGTAGTTGACATGTTCCTTGTACGTGTCCCCATCACTGTAGTTGACATGTTCCTTGTACGTGTCCCCATCACTGTAGTTGACGCGTTCCTTGTACGTGTCCCCATCACTGTAGTTGACGTGTTCCATGTCCGTGTTCACATCACTGTAGTTGACATGAACGTTGTACGTGTCCCCATCACTGTAATTGGCGTGTTCCTTGTACGTGGCCCCATCACTGTAGTTGGCGTGTTCCATGTACGTGTTCTCATCACTGTAGTTGGCGTGTTCCTTGTACGTGTCTCACTGTAGTTGGCGTGTTCCATGTACGTGTCCGCATCACTGTAGTCGGCGTGTTCCTTGTACGTGTCCCCATCACTGTAGTTGGCGTGCTCCATGTCCGTGTTCACATCACTGTAGTTGACATGTTCGTTGTACGTGTCCCCATCACTGTAATTGGCGTGTTCCTTGTACGTGTCCCCATCACTGTAGTTGACATGTTCCTTGTACGTGTCCCCATCACTGTAATTGGCGTGTTCCTTGTACGTGGCCCCATCACTGTAGTTGGCGTGTTCCATGTACGTGTCCGCATCACTGTAGTCGGCGTGTTCCTTGTACGTGTCCCCATCACTGTAGTTGACATGTTCCTTGTACGTGTCCCCATCACTGTAATTGGCGTGTTCCTTGTACGTGTCCCCATCACTGTAGTTGGCGGGTTCCTTGTACGTGTCCCCATCACTGTAGTTGACGCGTTCCTTGTACGTGTCCCCATCACTGTAGTTGACATGTTCCTTGTACGTGTCCCCATCACTGTAATTGGCGTGTTCCTTGTACGTGGCCCCATCACTGTAGTTGGCGTGTTCCATGTACGTTTCCCCATCACTGTAGTTGGCGTGTTCCATGTACGTTTCCCCATCACTGTAGTTGGCGTGTTCCATGTACGTGTCCCCATCACTGTAGTTGGCGTGTTCCATGTCCGTGTTCACATCACTGTAGTTGACATGATCGTTGTACGTGTCCCCATCACTGTAATTGGCGTGTTCCTTGTACGTGTCCCCATCACTGTAGTTGGCGTGTTCCTTGTACGTGTCCCCATCACTGTAGTTGACATGATCGTTGTACGGTAAGTCAACCGAGATTTATTGTTCATTCTATGAGGACAGGGAATTATCAAATTTAATATCCTAATCAACATGCTTGTTTTGGTACACAAAAAGGTATTCGGGATGCACTCATTATTATGATGGTGATATCTTTTCTTATACAACTTTGTGAATATCCTAATTTTCCCGAGTTTGTTTTATTCCGTTAACGATTTTTGTAAACATTAAGCATGGTTTCTATTAAAGTTTTCTAACGATGTATGCGTTTAAAACAGGTTAAAGTAAATCAGAGAGCCACTGACAATGATCACAGTAATCAATGCAAACAACGTCGTAGAAACAGAGACAATCTTTTGTAAAAACCGAAACAGAAATAGTATCACACGAATGGAAGTAGCTGATCAATACAAGATTAAAAGTATTGACTTGGGTTTATCCCCATTATTGCTTTGAACCAAATTATTTTGAAGAATAGCTTTAATGTGCACTGAAGCGGGAAAATCATTACTTCTCAGAATCAGAGCCTGTTAATTAGCCAGTTGGAGGGAGATTGTAACAACCCACGATTCCTGTTTTCTGGTGATCACAAATTGTTCAGGAACATTTCTTCCTTGTTTTTTCAGTCTATTCGAATTACTTAGTTTAGGAAATGCTGCTTCTATTATGTAAATATAAGGAAGGCAATGACGCATGAAATGTTTTTTCCCTCAATGTGAATGTAACATCAGGCCATCTATCATGCCCCTCAAATGTTTTACAAGAGAAGAATTGTTGTTTTGAAACATTTACAATAATAAACATTTGTTAATGTGTAGAATGCGCCATGTTTGTATTAAAATGTATTCCTGCCACCTTTATTGTAAACAAGTCAATATTTGACAGTCTTCTCTATTCAGTTTCGCTAATTTTCTAATTTCGCAGCTTTACCATATACTGTTTTGAATTGGACGTTTCGAAACTATAAGAATAAATATTGAAAATTCCTTTATTTTGATTGTAAGTTAAATATGGATAGTAAACCTTATAATAAACAAGTCTTTTTTGCATTATTTTCATTCGAAAATACATTTTTAAAATCAAAGTTTAAAAAACAAATCATATCTACCCTAAACCACTTAAAAGTATTGCTCAGAACAAATTTCATAAAATATTTAAATTAGCAATTTAGGGAAGCCAATTTGTTTAAGATTGGCTTAAACAGACAATAAATCTAAACAAGTAAATTATGCAAGCATAAATTCCAGCCTACTCATGGACTGATAACGCAACAACAGAACAATTAAAAAAGGACACGTTGATGAATTTGTTCACGCATTATAGTGGTAAGGATATATATATATAATAAATGACACACATTTTCTGGAGATCCTTATTGGCTGGATCATAAAAACGTGAAGGTCTGCAAGTTGCGATATTGACTTAGTGTTACTGATCTTAGAAACAGTGGGTTAATATTAACTTTATGACGTCATATCAATTTTAACGTCACAATGCTCTCTGCCGAATACAATTTTCATATTCTCAACGTACTTTGATGATTAAACGTTATTTCCCATCTTATATAGCTTCCTCTCTGTCAATTCACTTTCTCAGGTCCATGTAAGCTCATATTCACCTCAACAAAAGTCCATCATAGATGAATAAGAACTTCCAAGGTACGAAGATTTAAAGACATTTTTTGCAAAAGTTGGTCTTGACAATTGATGACGCAGTTGTAACGAAGGAGATACATGATAAGGAAATACATATTGTGTCTTGCTAAAGTCGAGATAAGGAGATAAAAATCACTTTCATCGTTCTGGAAACTATTTTTTTTATTTTGGTGACATGCGAAATATCATGTGTCTTACTTTAACTTTACGGATCACTAACTACGTTTTTGATTAGGTTTTCTGACAACATATGTTCCTTATCAATTATGTACCAGACAAAGATATAACAATTGAACGGTCCAATGACATGCTCCGTCGAGAGGTTCATAACATATACATTCTTCGATCAGCGATCTCTCATAGCACTACGAACAATGACAGACGTGTGCGAAGTCTTAGCTTCCTCTCCATCGTGGGTTTGTGTTGTAGTAAGTTTTCGATCCATTAGGTTTTTGTTATGAGTAAAATAAAACTGAAACGAGCATTTTGCAGAATATGTGCATCTCGTCTTACCTTTCACGCTTTCGGTAATAATTTTGAGTAACATTTGTCTCTTGTCTGAGTGTATGTAAACTATTCCAATACCTGGTAAACATAGACAGTTATCTGTGAACATGGTTTCGTCTATCTGTAATTTCTATTTGCCTTGAATGCATATCGAACCTTCACAGGTAATTTGTCTTTCCCGTAGATATTGCTGAATATCTGAACTTGTTTTAATGCGATATGTCATGGGAGCTCTGTACGAATCAAACAAAATGCCTACAAATAAGTAGTGCTTGCGAGATGCAGTTCTGGTAAATGTGTATATTTTTTATTCGATGCAGTAGTTATCCATTAAAATTCAATATTAATAATTAATAATATTCAATATATATGGAGTTTTCGTCCCATACGCAAAGGCTCTGTGGAAAATCCTGATGTATTCCGCTGCATGTTTGATCGAAGCGGCCTACGCAGGGCCCAATGGATTACCAGGGATTCTCTTTTGAGTCCTCACTAGGTGATTATAGGATCAGATTTCTTTTTCAAATACGCTGATGCTGACTTTGCGTAATTCATTTAGGCAACACTGGTAGAGATAGAAGCTTCTTGTCATGAATCGGCATTTATCCTTCTTCGCCATCTTTTATTTAATGTGTTAAACATTAATGTTGTGATATTACTATAATATAGGGTATCATTTATGTTATAACACCTGATGATCAAAATGTTAAGGTTCAAATTACGATCAATTGACCTACCTCCTTCCTCGACAGTGGACTCAACATGCTTCGTAGAAGTTTTACAATATAGCTAATGTTGCACTCAGCAAATCGTTTGACCAATCCAATGTATCTACATGCTGCCTGAGGGTATATCGTTAAAGGGAAAAAACAAGTTTTGTAATAATAAATAGGACAAGTGGGAAATAAAACGTTCAGTTTAAAAGTGTAAGGAATGTTTCTATGAAACACAATTCCTTGGATCAATGTAATCCAATCAGACACGCTGTTATATAGAAAATGTGATAATATATCATCAATATTTTTCAGGGAGTTCTCCACCCTGTGACAAAACTCTTGTGACTGGACAAAACGGTGTTTCTGATGCTGCGATCACAGCGTCATCTACTCACTCACTCTGTCCTACTCGTTTTACCAGAATCAACAGTATAAGTGGATGGTGTCCTTTAACCGTAGAAAACGGTCATTACCTACAGGTAACACTCAACACTAATATTACAGGTTGCACTGGATATTACTTGCAGGTTACACCGGCCACTACCAATAGTTATGATGGATACTACCTACAGGTATTTCTGGCAGTTACTTACAGGTAACATTTTACGTTACTTACAGGTAACATCGGACACTACTTACAGGTAACCCTGGTCACTTCTTAAAGGTAACATTGGGCACAACTTTCAGGTAACACTGGACACTTCTTATAGGTAACACTGGACACTACTTAAAGGTAACACTGGACGTTACTTACATGTTAGACTGGACCTTACTTGTAGTTAACACGAGGTACTACTAACAGGTAATACTGGACGTTAATTACAGGTGATACTGGACATTTCGTATATGTAACAGTGGACATTACTTACAGGTAGCACTGGACATTTCTTACAGGTATTAATGGATATTACTAACAGGTAACACTAGACGTTACTTACAGGTAATACTAACTGTTACTTACAGGTAACACTGAACGTTACTTACAGGTAACACTGGACGTTACTTACAGGTTACACTAGACGTTACTTACAGGTATCACTGGACATTACTTACAGGTAATACTGGACGTTAATTACATGTAGTACTGGACATTACTGACAGGTAACAGTAGACGTTACTTACAGGTACCATTGGACATTACTTACAGGAAACACTTGACATTATTTACAGGT